GCGGGCCAGCTCCCTCGTCTCCTTTCGTCGGAAAAGAGCGTGGAGCAAAGACCACAGTCAGACTACTTTATAGGGAGGCATTCAATTTTGATTGACTAGTGATTCCGGGCTCATCAATTGCTAAGAACATTAGTTCTGTAAGTGCAGTGTATGTATTATCACCTGGTGGTGATACTCCACCGCTGGATGGCGCCGACCTACAGTCAGCTTGCTGAATTCTCCTTGACAAGTTATCTCCCACCAACCCCAGCCAGGACAAGCTCAAAGCTCCCGACAGGTTTCAAATATGTGTGGAAGTGTAGTGCATGTAAGTGTGTAATTAAGGGATAATGTAGAACACGGAAGAGGAAGGGAAGATCGAGTAGCGCGTGGTCCGTGGCCCGTTTGTTACCGTGCTGCTCCGGAATTAGCCCGGTTTGATCCGAGAAACCGCGAAAAACTACCGATCAGAGCAGCTGGCCGATAGAATTCTCCTCCAGACAGCAGATGAATTCGACATAGCTCTCTAACTAGTATCGAAAGCCCTCCCGTCGACGGGACTCAAACCCTAGGATATCCCGGTCAGAGGCAGCCATACAGTTTTGACAAAGGTGACCATTTTACTCGTGAGCATTTGGACATCTCGCTTAAATGTCCAAAGGCGCCCATAAATGTCCGGGTTTACCTGTGCAGGTTTTCTCGCCTCCTGTCCTCACCTCGTTAGCCGCCCGTCAGCTTCATCTCCACCACTCCACTGCTCTCTCCCGTCGCTTGCCTTTGTCCGGGCAAGAGCGTGGTGCTTGCTACCCCGTACAGGTCCGACGTAACTGCTCGAAACACTCAGGACACATATCCTGAAGGTAACTAAGAGCCTATTGGTTTCATTCGCGAGAGAGTTACTTGACGAGTAGTGGGTCTCACATTTAGTCGGTCGGGTAAACGGAACGGCTAAAAATATCACGTATCGTTCTCGTATGGGCTCCTTCCTAGTGTCGAAGAATTTTTGCCTCATTCACCGTGAGACGTACCGGTCATATTACTAAAATTGGGCTGAGACTTTAAAGAATTATTTCCGTACTTAATAATAGTGTAATACTAGTAATAATAATAATAATAATAATAATAATAATAATAATAATAAATGATAAACATTTCCGTAATAATACTAATACTACTACTACTACTACTACTACTACTACTACTACTACTACTACTACTACTACTACTACTACTAATAATAATAATAATAATAATAATAATAATAATAATAATAAGAGTATATCCGTCAGGGGTTCTGAATTCTTTAACATGGTCTGAAGAGTTCACTGAATCTGTAACTCACGAGATTGTGCAATTCAGCGCTTAGCGTGAATATCGGTTCGATTCCTGGGTGGGGCAGTAAATTCTTTGAACAGTCACACAATAATTTGTAATAGTTTTTGTATAATGCAACAAAATGCAACTAACAGGCAACCTCATGTCTGTACTCGGCGCGTCAGTCCGCGTACGGGCCATGGGGTCCCGGCGTCGCGGCCATGGGTTTAAGAGGTACGTGTGGTTAGCACGAAGACATCCCTACGCCGTATTCTGGTCTTCTCAACCTGAGAAGCGAGATTTCTTACCATCACACTGCAACATATGCTGGCATATTGCAAGGAAAACGCACTTGCACAAAAACACAAATAATCTTGCCCGAACGGGAATCGAACCCAGGATCGCGTCATGGAAAGTGAGTACGCTCACCACTAAGCTAAACCACAAGGGCAACCTCATGATTATTTACGTTATTTAATGAGATTCCTAGTTTCTCATTTCATTTTGTCTTCTAAGGTGTTACGTTAATGCAGATTGTTTCGAATTGTAATGGAAAAGTGTTCTGCAATCGCTAAATACCCAAAAAATGTATTACGTATTTTGTTTTGCACGTATTTATTTCAGCGACTATTTATCATACTCAGTAACAATCATACTTACAAGTAACAAGAAACTACTCGTAATGTTTATGTACACGGTACAAGATCTCATAAATTCGAAGGATTTATTAGGTCTTGTACCAGTCCAGTATTATTCTAATTTTTCTAACGCACATACCTATAGATACCAGAAAGTGAATGTTGCTAAAAAATGTAAAACATTCGCTTATTCTGAAATTGAAATAATTTCATGTTGCTCATTGATGTTTTATGATTCTAATAAGTAATCATGATTTCTCTGCAAGCAGCCAATAATCCACGTCAGCATTGTTGAGTAGATACAGAGGTTTATTATTTTCTAATTCCCACGAAATAATAAAATATATTATGCATTTAACATTCATTTACGAAGAGAGCCCTTCAATTCATCCCTTCTCTGAGATTTATTCGTCAATTCATTCCTATAAAATACTCCCCCAATAAGAAGAGACATCAAATTTGTTCACCACAATATGTGCACACTTTATCTCGGTGGTCTGATATATTAGTTTCTCAGTCTGACAATGCCCGTTTAAAAAATGTACCTCAACGAAATCAAACATTCTTGAGGGATGAAATAAAAGTAATGTCAAAGTTTTGTTTTCATCTCGACTGTAATGCTCCTTGTAATCAATAAGTAGTACACGAGAATTGTGTTATGTGAAAGAGTGTCAAGAGTATTCTGGAACATTAAGTAAATGAGACGTTTCGAATTCTACCTTCAATTAAGTCGAAAAACGGAAAGATTTTTAGGATCTTTACACTGCTATCCACTGGATCGTTTCAGTCGGTGATATTGGTCACTTTGGGAAGCTAAAATAAGTGTTATGTCTCATAATCGAAACGTGTTCAAAACATTTCAACCCAGAGTAAGGCGATATGAATGTCGTGCAGAAACAAATGTTTACACGAAGAACAAAAAGATTGAAAATGCGGTGATTGTGATGTAATGAAGTCAATAAGCAACAGTGTATATTTCCTTATTCAGTAATAATTATCGTCTCTGTTAAAAATAAAAACAGTCGTAACACAAATACAGGGAAGGAAATCAGTCTACTTCATTCATTCTTCGGTAAATTTCAACGAAATAAATTTATAGTGTGGATATTAAAAAAAGTGTCAAAATGTAACATTAAGAGTATAAACAAGGAAAGTACATCTCGAAATTTACACTTTTTACTGGAAAAAAATGTTCGTGACTAGCAAATTCAAGTTCTGTGGAAGAAATAACGAGAATGAAAAAATAAATAGCTAGTTTCGGTGTGCCCGCCTATCTTCTGAAATAACAATAAGACCATTATGAGCGAATCATTAAAAATGTTGCTACTTGCTGAAAATATACTTCAATAAACAAACGATGAAACTACATCTCTCATACTTTCGATCAAACTATTGATCATATCAGGGGTAATTATTTAAGGAGAGTATAAAAATCATGCTCCGTGAAAAACACACTGAATTTAAATTTATAACTAAACCTTGTGCCAAGAGTTCGTTGACTGACTTTTTTCGCGCCATTAACAAGGCGGTGGAAACTAAACAAAGGAATGCACTTCTCAAAAGAAAAACGTACTCACTATTTTCGCAAAAAGACTCTGAAACTGTCGTTTGGCGCACTTAAAGCGTTTTTAGCAGAAATGTAATAATGAACTGCATAAATATCTTGCAACAATAGAGAAGATCACTAAGCTCAATCCGAAATGAGAGATAACCGCTATAAAGAACTGCCTCGAGTAAAAAAGAATATTCCATGTACAGTTAGTTCTCACGACAGCAGCGTAGACTGCTCCAGGAAATGAGCGAGATGTTCTGAGAAAAACATCGGCGTTTTCTCGTACGAGGTCCTAAAATTCTATTCATTTATTCCGCCTTTCATTTCCCACTACAGTATTTCTTGAGACGCATGGGAAAGGCTAGCATTATTAAGGTCTGTCTGAAGCGAAAAACGAGGTACAGCAATTGGTGGAAATACGAAAACAAATAGAGAATGGTTATTATAAAATATTGCAGATACTACTCTTAGATCTTTCTATCAAAATGTTTCAAACCTTTAAACTCCTCTTCCAAACCTGTAAAATCACGTTTTTTAGTTAACAAATCTACAGGCTTAAACAATGACATTCGAGAATAATTCAGCCTCATAATCTTATATTTCAAAACTGCATCGAGAACTTTGCAAACCAGATATGTCCTAATAATTAATAACACGTGTATTATTTGCAAGGAAACAAATGAATACACAACTTCGAGACTGGCCAGTAGCAGAACACAGCCTGCTTAGGAGAGGCAGTTTCATGAGTTCAACAGGTGACAGCAGAAAGCGAGAGCCAGTCAGACATCGGTTCGACTCCCTGATGTCCACTCACCTAGCGGAGTAGCAACGCGACGACACGGCGACGGCAGCGTGCGGCGACGGCAAGCGGGAACGCGTTGATGGCAAGCAATTTCCGTGTAGCGGACGGCAGGCGGCAGCGAACAACCGGCGACAACCCCGCACGACGCCGTACTGACACTGACACTTGTTCTGGCGAGCCTGCACCAATCTCTTCAGGCGGCGCGCGCCGTTCCCCCACCACCACGCGCCGCCGCCGCCACCGCCGCCGCCTGTCCCTCGCGACCGACCGACGACCCGGCGTCAGCAATTCAGTTTTTCTTCTGAGCCCCGCCGCCGCTGCTTCGCCTCCGAAGAACAAGTCGCGCCGACGCGGCGCGGCGTGGCGCAGGAGATGAAAGAAAAACGAGAAGGGGAGGAGAGGAGGACGGAGGAAGCGAGCAGCCCAGAAGGCAGCAGAGGAATAAAGGAGGAAGACGCCCGCCGAGGGGGGGGGGCACGACACAATTGAACGCCTCGTATAGGAAACATGCGAGACGCACGGCATCTACCGGATGCAGGAGGAACTGCCGGGAAGGCGAGTTCGGCTCTCAGAGAACAGGTGTTATCGATGAGTCAGGCTGGGAGGCGGGGATGAAATCACCATTCCACGCAAGATATCCACGATTTTATTGCACGTCAACGAACGAAAGTGATATTAAACGATCAGAAAGGAACTAGCGAGTGCACGTATTAAAATTTACTCGTGTGTGTCATTCTCCTGCAAAAATCGAGCCAAAGTAGTTGTCGGTTTGAACTTGCCAATCGATGGTGCTGCCCTGAGTGCGTTTCTTTGACCCCATGGCTACACAAATTCAAGACTGTCTGTCCAATGTCCACAGCTGTCACTCACAGCCATGTTCTTGCTGTTGCTGAGAAGTAACTTTTCATTTGCACTATTTGAGATAGGACAATTCTCATGAGCAGGTCATGATTTACCTACCAGCAAAACAAGCAGTTACTTAGGAGTCCACATAGTGCGCTCCGTGCCTCTAAAAGTTCTGAAAATATTCCGAAAAAGCCATTGAAATGTTTATGTATACAAGAAACTCATTATATTTGTAATCAAGAAATTAAAAATGTACTTAAAGAAATGTTATTATGCACTATGCAATTTGTTACTTCCTATTAGCATTTGTACAATAAGTTGTTATATTAACATTAGGTTTTTTTTATTAAATCAAGAAGATTTTTTCTGAAGGGGCGCCAATAGTCGTTTTTGCTTCGTGGTTTCTACAGCTGGCCCTGCTCTCAGTAAGATCGAGTGAACTTGGATACATTACACCGATGTAATCGAAAAAATGAAAATTTAAAATGAATTGAAGGGTTTACAAGAAGCATACTCGTCCACATTCGAGATTTTTCAGAGAACGCTAAAAACTTCGTAGCGTTGACATGCATAATGATACATTTATAATCCCCCTCCCTTTCAATGTGTTTTCCGAAAAGAAATGGCCGAGCAAATAACTACAGTTGTAGGGAATGACCTGGTGAAATGTCTCAAAATATGGAAGTTTGGACTTGTTTGTTTCTGGTGAGAAACTTAAAAATTGCTGTCAGCAATACAGTTAGTGTTATTCGGTTGTACTGTAGTCTGCATTCTCAGTTTCCGAGAGAGTAAAGAGTGAAAAGATTAAGGGAATAAATTATTGGAAATGTAGAATTTACAATTTTCTTTAAATTTAGAGTCTACATAAGGGCAGAAAACACTAAATTCTATTGAAACGAGTTCAAATGAGCGAAAACGGCAAACTATGCAGAGTTAGCTTAGCTTAATTGTGTTTTAATCTGTAGATTGTGTTCTTAAAAAACAGTATTTAAGGTATAATTTCGCGATTTCATGTATTACACACTTCTTCAGTATTGTTTTAAATTTAATACACTGAATTTAATAATTTATAAATTATCATCTACTATTAGTAATGCATTAAATCCTTAACAATTTATCAGTTCCTTTATTGTTTAGAATAGGTAGATTCCAAACTTTTTAACACGTAGACCCCTCTTACACAATTTATTAATACCGTTGTCCACTAACAGTAATTAACTTCACCTATTCAAAGCAATAAACGCTCATCAAATACTCATCAAATATTTCACTAAATGTAAACAAATATTTTTTATATTTCTTCAAATGTTTTTATTAAAGATATAGTGCTTATTTCTGAAACTTCGTCGAGTCCAATCCTCAAAATAATCGGAAATGGAAAAAAAAAATAATCAGCCGGTTTAGATGAATTTCCCTATTGTTTGTTAAATACTTGTGGACTTGCCATTATAAACCCCCTAATTCACATATTTAATGCATTCTCATGCACCACAATATTTCCAGATACTTTCAGAGAAGCCGAGATTAGGCTGTTCTTCAAAAATATATCAAAAATGAAAGTGAACATTGTAGGCCAATTTCTCTTTTTTGTGAGTTTTGTCCATGACGCGAGTTGTTTTGTTTGGTGTTTGTTCAATCATATCGATCGTATTGCACGAATGGAATATTAGACTCCAAAGACCCGAGATTAATTATGTGAAAATGAATGCCACGTGGTACTGCCATTCTCAAATGGATTTGTAAAAACTATTTTGCTTGTCCACGATTAGAACTATAAGTAGTTCAGAGAGTTTTATTTTATTCTGAATTGCGTTCTATTGTTACACGTTTTTACCTAGATGTATATCACATTATGACTAAAATTCAGTTAGTGCAGGGAATTTCTGAGTGTAATGTAGTTTTTTAAAAAAAATTGTATGAATTAAATTTTTGTTGAAAAAAGTACATATTTTTCAAACAATGAAAAGATAGTTATACATGTTATGACCTTGAATAATGATATTCAGTAAAGAATTCCATCGCCGGTTTAAAGAAAATTCCTCTTCGAGGAACGACATCTGTCCCGTTTCAACTAATTTAATCACTAGAACTAATTCCACATTTTATTGCAAATTGAGGAAGTTTGTGACTGAAAGAAGTCTAAATGAACTCTTAAAGTTTACTGTTAATAATCTGAATGATAATGATGATAACATACTAACTATTAATCTGTTAAAGCTTCTTAGGATGTTTATTACTTCGGTATTTTTCAGGCTATAATAATTCTGACAATCGAGCAACGCATCATGAAAGAGATGAAATCGTTTGCATTAACAATTATTGGTTTTCATTTATCGCATTAACCTCCATCACTTAAATCAAGAAGATCCAACACAAACCTCTAACTTGTTCCTAAGAACTCCATCAAGTTCTGTCAATTCATTTGAAAAATTTTTATTTCTTCCAAGTCCTCAGGAGTGAGTATGTTCTCAACAATAATTATGTCAGTCGACAAAATAGCGCTTGTGATTTACGAAGACAAAGTGTAATGTACAATAAACTATTTACAATTACAACCAATAATTTAGCATCAGGTCATCAGCTTTCTGTAGTAGAAATAAGCAATATATTATTTTTAATCTGGTACAGTTCTGCTTATTATATCAACATTTAAATGATTTTGCTTCTTCTGTGAATAACTTCAATATTGTAAATCTATTCACCAGGAATTAAATCATTTTTAAAAACATTATGTTTGACAGAATTAGGTGTCTTTACTTTTGACTCTGATCTATTTTGTTCCTTTTAAAATCTCTTGATTTATGCCTTTAATATCATATTCGACCGCCATTTTTGACATCATCAAATAGTATATATAATTGTCACCATTCCCGTCACCTTGTTGGACGCAATTACGCTCGGAGAATATATTCCGCTATCGTAAAGAAATCCAAATTGTGACCACGTTACTGCGTAATAATGCATTAAAGGATTGGTTGTCTCGGTTGCTTAGTACTTAGAGCAACTGGGCGTAAAACAGAAGGCCAGGTCTGGTGTACCAATTCTTTGAACAAATTTAATTACCATCAAATAGTTTATCCAAAGCTGTTAACTTCTCTCTTACCGCACTTTCTGAACAAACAAATCTTTCAGTCCAATTTTGAATCATTCGCAATATCTTTTCATTAATTCTTTTTATTATTTTTCTACATTATTATTTTCTATTAATTCTTAAGAGCATCTTTAAACAATTTCATACCTTTTCCCTAGTATGTAATTATTATTTTTAACCCAATCCACCTTCTACACCATTACCATGTATCAATACCATTTCTCTTCCTACTGCTTCAATATTCTGCCATGGCCGGTTTTTATTCTAGGCATTGTTAGCAATTATTAATAATAACAAATATTATTCAGTAGAGTCTTAATGACGAAAGGAATTTTCAAAATCCGTTACCTGAGTCATCCATTAAACTTCAATGATTAAAAAGTAGTATGAATTTGAAGACAAACATTTATAGAAAAGTGCAACCTGCAATGCACGAACGTGTGGCAGGGCGGGGCATAAAAGTAGTGATAGTGGTGATGGTTGTAGTAGTATATTAGTGGTAGTAGCAGTAGTGGTAGAAGTACTTGATTGATCCATTAGTGCTCTGTGTCGTATCAACTTCTGTCATTAGTTCCGTACGTGTAGTGCATGTTTCATCGCGGCTGTGACCTTCCCCCGCTGGATGGCGAGATGGCGCTATACATCGACTTTGGGGATTTTTGGGTATTTTCCCCAACGAAGAATCTCCCACCAGCGTGGCACCGCTCCAGCCGGGACATTCTCTAAAATCCCAACTAGTCTTTCGACAAGTGTGATAGTGCAGTACATAAGAGTATAAGAGAGGTAATCAAGGGGTGAGAATAGGTCAATGAAGGGCTAGGAAAGACCGCGCGCGGTCCATGGCTCGCTTGTTAGGATATGTTGCCGCATTTGCCTAGTGTTGAAAGGAGAAATCACGGAAAACTTCCAATCAGAGCAGCCGGCCGCTAGACTTCTCCTCCAAGCAGCGGCGTAATTCGACTTAGCTATGTAGCTAGTGTCCAAAATCCTGCCACCCTCAGGACTCGAACCCCTGGACACTGTCAGAGGTACTGGCAGTCGGTGGCACTGCAGACACCAGTTAATGCCCTGAGCCACTTTTGGTTGTTGAGTGATAGTAGTAGAAGTGGTATTGGTCGCATTAGTAGTAGCAGTAGTGGTGGAAGAGGTGTCAGTGGTGATATCAGTAGCAGTGATGATAGCAAAGCGGTAGAAGTGTAGCAGAAGTGGTAGTAGCGTTGGTGGTAGTAGCAGCCAACCATGGTGACACTGGTGGTAGTAGTAGTAGTAGT